TGCCTTTAAAGTGTATTTATTTAATAGTTCATTTATATAATTCTGCTTTTATTTCTAATTATGTCAGTTTTGGTCCTTCATACTACAGAAGCCTGCTAATCATATATTCATTCAAATCAGGTGTGTTGGAGCAGAGAAACAAGTAAAACATGCAGGGCTGCAGCCCTCCAGGACCAGGATTGCCCACCCCTGATATAAAGTATAAAGAAATGATGGATGACTCAAGACTTTTGCACAGAGAGAATCAGGTTCTTTGGGATATTCTTTGGGAATTTATTTTTAGTGTTGTTTTTAGTGTTTTCCAAGACTGGATACATACAAAAAAATAGAGCCTGAAAAAGTGTTTCTTTTTGTCTTTAATTTCTTTAATTTTTTTTAGCTAAATGTCTGAATTCCTAAAGATGTATCGCTCAGCCAAGCTTTTAAATTCTTTAAACTCAAAAGTTGGAAACTTAAATCTGCTCCCACAGCAATGTGTGAATGTGAAATAGCTTTCACTCTGTGAAAATGTAGGCTTCGAAAGACACAACACAAACCCTTTTTTTAAACAAATCTTACTTTACTCTAAAGGTTCTTTGGTTTCACTAAATGAACACGATGTTTTATTGTAGAAAACTTGTACGATTTTATATATATATATATATATATATGTAAGAAAAAATTTCTCAAAAATAGATTTTTTTGTTGTCTTCTAATAAGTGTTGCTGGTGTGTAGAAGAGGTTAGAGAGGTCGCTGGTTAGAGTCCTCCTCTTATAGAGTTAAATAACACTAGAGTGAGCTTCACCTATCCCACTGTGAGCACTGTGGAGGAACAAAAATGGCGACCAAGCAGAGCGATGGCTCACAGCCGACAAAGCAAAGATTTTAACATCATGCAAAACAGCAGGTGATATTTAAGAAAAATGTAATTTATAAGTAATGATTTAAACCAGACCTGAAGTCTGTCAGTAAACTCAGAATATTTAGTTAGTTGAAAAAGTATGACTTCAATTAGTAACAAAAATATTTTTATTTACCTGTCATAAATAATAATAAACATTTACCAGGACACCTGGGGAAAAAAAATCATTGCACACCCTGTGACACATTAGGATGAAGCTTGACTACTGATATTAGCTAACAATCTTTTAAACAGTTTGTCTAGTTTGTCTAATAAAAACCAAAAAATAGTGCAATGTGTAGTATTATTTTACACTGTGTAAGTAAATCAGACGCACAATCAGCTTTTACTATTTAATATTTTGTGCTAAACTGTAGCATGATTCAGCAGTGCTCCACGCTGTATAACAATATATGCCACAGAAGCTAATATTTGCTAACCAGTTCAATAATTAACAGTGATTACCTCGACTTTATAGGCTTGTTTTAAATTATTAATTTCAGTTCTGGTCAGATCACATCCACGTTGAGGTAAATAAGATAAAACCAGCTTATTTGTGAAATGAGATGTTTCTCTTCTGTTGGTACATCCATACACACACAGCTTTCTGGTATTTTTATATACAGTATGTTACATAGCTTATATACATTGTAATGTATTAAAAATATCATTAACAGGTTTTACAAATGTTATATAATCAGTCCTTATTGTTCATTATTTGTACAGTATTACTAAATCTAGACTCTGGGGTTCGGGTTAGTGCTGCTGCTGCTACAGTAGATCACATGGTCACGTGGTCAAGAGGCACTCCTGCTGGTCTGTGATTGTCAAAGTCTCTGTGAATGGTTTCTGGTCTTTCAGATCCTGGGAACCAACAGGACTCAGACGTACGTGAAGGAACACTCCATAGTCGACCCAGAGGAGAAAAAGATGGAGCTGTGCTCGACAAACGTGAGTCAGTAACCTCTGCGCTGGCTTATTCAGAGCACATTCCAGTTTTGTACGATGTGTAATTCTTCCACTTTAAAGGGATCCCTGATTAGTTGAAGCATTAGACTTTATTTAATAAACATATATTTTAACTGTAAAATAAAGACTGTAAATATACTGT